GCGGGGTTCTTCTTCTTCTCTCTCTCTCTCTCTCTCTCTCTCTCTCTCTCTCTCTCTCCTCTCTCTCTTTCTCTCTTTTCTTTCTCTCTCTTTCTCTCTCTCCCTCTCTCTCTCTCTTCTCTCTTCTCTCTCGCCTCTCTCCTTTCTTTCTCTCTCCTCTCCTCTCCCTCCCTCTTCTCCCTTCTCCCTCCCCTCTCCCCTCCCTCTCCCTCTCTCCTCTCTCCCTCTCCCTCTCTCTCCCTCTCCCTCTTCTCTCTCTCTCTCTCTCTCTCTCCCTCTCTCTCTCTCTCTCTCTCTCTCTCTCTCTCTCTCTCTCTCTCTCTCTCTCTCTCTCTCTCTCTCTCTCTCTCTCTCTCTCTCCCCAACTGCTCCCCCTGAACTTGCTTGGCCCAGGCTGTATTCGTTGAAACAAGTCAGCTGATGATATAAGTACCATTTTGTTGTTATTATTTTGTGATATACATGACATGATTACATTACCATTACCAGTACAGGCAAGCTAAGAGTGGAGATCATTGTGATTATAGTAATGAGTTGTGAAATTGCAATGATTACTCTATTATCTTATTTACTCCAAATTACTTTAGTAGCTAAAGTTGTGAACATTGAGTGTGGGCAATGTCTTTGAAGACGTAGATTAGAAATGTTGAAACTGAATTTAACATGCAAAGACTAGTGGTGCTTAATAGTGATGGATTAGACGAAGAAAGGTTATCGCAAGAGTTCTGGCTAAGTTGGGTAGATGATAAGATAAGGCACCTGGTTGTCTTTGATGAACTCCTGATACCTGTCTCTTTATCAGGTCACATACATGTAAGACTACCATAAAGCATATCACTTGACTAGATTCCACAAATGCAGCATTTTTAGTTGACAGTGCATAGTTAAGCAGAGGGTTTATGAAGAAGGCAATAAAACATGAAATCCTTTGATATTATGTAACATTTTCTTTTTGTACTGGTATTCCTTGCATGAAAATGATCATGGTTATTCATTTTTAAAAACAATGAAGTAAAAATTTATAACAGACCATGAGAATGAAGTTTATATGCCATCTGCTCTATGGAACCACAGAAAAATTTTTATAGTGTAATTTAAGAGTTCAAGTTTCCGGTAGAGATATTTGAAGTTTGCTAGATTTTTTCATGAATGGTATAGAACAGGGCTTCCCAATTTGAGGGCCATAGCTCCCAGTAGGTCCACAAGGTACTTTCTGGAGGGCCATGGAATGATATGAAAATATTGATGTCAAAGGAAACTGATTGTTATTTCACCTACAGTACCTACATAAAATCATCTCTCACACATCAATAAATTGGAATCTTTCCATTGAGTGTTCTTGACCTGTAGCTATGGACACCATTACATTACTAGTAATTACTGAATTTGAAAACATGACAGTCACTGAATGGGAGCATGGAGATTATTAAATATTGCTTGGAGGCCACAGAATGAAAAAGGTTGGGAACCACTGGTATAGAATCTAAATAGTAGTGGATAATGCTCAAAATTCATTTAAGCATATAGTAAAAGAATGATGAATAAAGCAAAGAACCATCATAATGGCATAATAACATGATAAGGCTTGCCCAATTTTTGTGGAAAACTTGGAGACTGATTTGTACTTGTTCCTTTCCAGTTCTATCCAGTGGACCAGGAATGCATTTGGGGTCTGCTGACTCTGGAACAGCTGTTGCTGATGTGCCAGAGTGCACCTCTACCTGCTGGCCCAGGACTTGCAGAACTGCGACCTCCCCTGACAGAGGCCAGCCAGGACCTCCAACCAAGGATTTCACAAGTGCCATTCAAATTTGATCTTATCAGGCTCCTGCCCAAGTGTCAGCAAGTGGAACTCCTTGTGTCGACTTATGTACAAGGTGGATGTAACTTGTACATTTATCATCTTCATTGGAACTGTCTCTGTTAGATTTATTGATATATGATTTATTGCTGTGTAATTATGGATACTTTAGGGAATATAAGATAGGTTTCCTTATCATATTCTACACTCACTACCATTCTTAAATTATATTTTTCAGATTTGTTCACAAGTCTCATAAAAAGAGTTACTTTTGGAGGGGAGACTTCTGGCATTGATGAAGCTAACCAGATAGCCTATTCTCTGTTGCTGGAACACCTGAGTCAGCTGCACCACGATCGAGAGTTCCACCTGAGTACAGCAGACTTACAAGCCTTGCCCAAGATGCTCCGTGATCGCCAGCGCTCTCACAATGCCCAGCCATCACCATTTATCAATACCAGTGTTGGTTAGTTGAAATGCCAATATTTAAAGGAATGAGGAAACAGATCAGATAGTATTTAGAGGCATGATTTTATAATAGATTTTTCAAGCATTATAGAAAAGTGACAGTCATGTTCAGGTTGATTTAGACAAAAGTATTTTATTATAAATTTGTATAGAAGCCTCTTATAAGTAACATTCTAATAGAAGTGTTCTTTCTTCACAGGGAGAATGAGTGACCCTCCAAAATGGCGTTGT